TCAACAAATATGCGCACATAGTGCATACAATTTTTTTTAATTTGTTATTTCCCAAAAAAATTATTAACTTATTTGAGGCAAAATAAAAGCATAATATTAATTAGACTTTTTCACAGTTACAGTTTCATAGTCTATGTTACATTCTGAAAACGAAGTAGGAAGCACCTATTTAACAACTTTGTTACAAATTATTATCTGATCAATTACCTGTCAACATTTATAGGGACCGTATTAATAATATCATCATCATTTTCTTCTTATTCAACTATTTCCAATTATGGTGTAGCTTCCCCCACATAAGATACTCTCTTTGTACCGTATGATCGAATAAAAACGGCGTCAGCGATGGCTATGAAATGAAGATCGTTGTTGTGCATTGTTGCATATGCGGACCCAAGTAATTCCTGTTAATTTCCAAATATCATGGTCCCATCTCAGGTTTGGTCTTCTTCTAGGTTTCTTAATTCCTCGTAATAAATCGGCATCCAGTTGGTTGGGAAGTGACGAACGATGACATTCCCCATTTAATTTTCCATGCAAAAAAATTACTCAAAATCATTGATGGTTTATTGCAATGTTTTTAGTTTTTCGGAGACATAAAACATTGCAATCAAAAAAAACATTTAAAAATCAAAAATCATTAGATGTTCATAATTTAGCGAGCTGGAGAATTTAGTCGATGATAATTTTGGCGAGGTCAATCTCGAGGCGAATCATTTTCTAAAAAAAATTTGTCAAAAATTAGCAGTAATTATAGAAAGATTAAAAAAGTATAGAACGTTTCCAGACACACAAATCTATCTCCAAAAAATTATTTTTCTCGAATTTTACTACACCATTTATCAATCAATCATTTTTGCTCAATTTAAAAATAAATTACGTCCTTCTGAAGACCAACTGGCAGTAAGCGCCATTAAAAAATAAAGAAAAGTTCAAGTATATTACGTCTAGGGCTTGACCTCCCCAAAATTATCAGCGATCGTCATTCTCCGGCCGTCTTTGACGCCGTTTTTTTTTTCAATCGTATCGTATAAAACGCAAGAAATAATGTAAGGCCACACCTTTCTTAAATAATATTGTTATGGTGACACAATAAGTTTGGCGAATGAAATTCTAAATTGTCATCGAGTTGTAATCGAAAATTTCCAAATATCAGCATTATCGTTTACTAACTTTTACCCGATTTAAATAAATTTGAATATTAATAATCGAAAAGAAAGCTGGATATCCCGATCTGCAGCAACAAGAATCTATTTGCATAATCCACAATAAGAGTACATTGACCAGCAGAAGCAAGTAATGATCGGAATTGACATAATACAAAATATGACATTTACTACATGGGTTTGTGTACAAAAGTGTAGGTTATTTCTATAGAGAGAGCCTAATAAGCTTATAAAACAATACATTTTTAATTTCTAGCCTTGTTGTTGTCAAAGGTCAAAATGACATTATTAGCAAATTTTTGAAATTAATTAATTGAATTTGAATTGAAATTAATTGTTAGTAAATGACGTCTAGAGATTGACAACGTCAATTATCACTGATTGTCATTCCCCAGCCGTCTTTGACGCCGTTTTTATTCAATCCATACGGTACATATTCCATAGTACAATATATTATACAATATTGCAAAAGAATTATTAATATATTTTTTGATGTCCACAATATTAGTTCTAATTAAATAATTTTTAGTTTTAGAATAATAAAACTTATTTTAAGAAATATGTATACAATACTTTTAGGTAGGTAGCAAAAAGAGTTGTGAAATGACAAAAACATGTGTTTAAAAAGATGTCAAATAACTCAAGATATCTAATTCGTTACAGAAGAACTTTTCTTGAGAAACCTTTTATGACACATTAAGAAATGTCTATAGTAGGCGCGAACATCTTTAAACAGTACTATTACAAGAAACAAGAATACATGTGTCTATACATATTTGTACAGGGTGTCCTATTTTCGTGTTTTTATGGGGTTTCTCGTTTATGAGTAGAGATACAAAGATACAGATTTCACATCAATGTACTAGGTCTTTTTATGAAACTAAAGACACTACACACAGATTTGTCCTAGCCCTCTCAGTTCCTGAAATACAAGGCAAAATCGAAAACGTTGCATTTTTCGACCACCTTTGTGTCTCGGTTAACTTATAACTTATCTAAACTGGGAAAACTGTGTCCTACAGATTTTTTTCACGTAGAAACCAGCACCGTAACTAGTTTTTCGCTGGGAACTATCATTTTTAAAATGCGACTCAATTTTCTTTTTATTGGGACGCCCTGTATATTATTTCTTTATTTTATTTACATTTTTAAGAGTTTTCTAAACATATAATATAATTTAACTTTTTAACATAAATAAACCTAGTTTAGAAGAGTATTATTATTTTATTTTATTTAATTTAACTAGAAAAATTTGCGTTTCATCATGTTATCTGGATAAAATGCACTAAAAACGAACTTATGCTGCTGTTATTGATATTTTGATGCACTTGTACAATAACTTCACACGCAGAAACTACATAGCGTGTTAAAAAATTTAACGTTGTATAAATTATTCGATTATTTTGATTACCCAATTTAAAGCGACCTATGTTAAAAAGTTAAATAATGCATTAATGCATTCATTTTTTACCTTGCTTATGAAAATAAGTCAAAGAACATTATATTTTTCGAACGCTCTCATAATAAGGCATGTGAAATATAAATATAAATATATACAACGCAAATAAAAAAGAATATACAGGGTATTCGCTACTTAAAAATAAGGACAGTGATGTGAAAACCACATCTTTGTACCTCTGCTCATAAGCGAGAAACCCTGTAAAACACTCGAAACTGAGACACCCTGTACATATAAGACGACTGATTTGATGGCATATAAAAAATGTATAGTTCATATACAGGGTGAAAAAATAGTGTATCTAACTTTAGTGGGTGATTCTCCAGATTGTACGGGAATAAAAATAGTTCTTATGAACATATGCCCTAAAATGCTTCCCGAAGAAGTTACAGCCCTCAAAAGGTTAAATAAAAATAATACATTTTGCTTATTTTTAAGAACGTTAGTAAATCGTTTTTCCTGAAATTTGGTATTCTTACACACATTTTAATACCAAAGCGAATGGCGATTTACTTTGACAGTACTTTTTAAGGTAAAGAACTGATCTCAGCATTGGCGTAACTACAGGGGTACCCGGGGCCCCCAGGTACTGCTGGGCACCCCCCAGAGAAATCCTGAATTATGACTCTTGGCTACGTATTAATTTTTATTTGCTTGTGATGCAGTAAAAATGACGTTTTCTAGTTTTGTCTAGTTAATATTATTTTGTTGTGTTCAAAAAATGTCTTTGGTTTGGTTTGGTTTAGAAAATTTGTCGGTATTTAATTAATCTACGGGAACACGGTTTGATAACCAAGTCTATGAAATTTTGTTGGTTTGGTTTGGAAAATTCATGTAAACGTTTTATTCAAAAAATGTGTTTGGTTTGGTTTGGTTTGGTTTGGTTTGGTTTTTTTTGGTTCTGTCTCTCATGTACTGGTCTACTCCATTTAACCACGTAGTTGTAGGTCTTCCTCTTTTCCTTCTGGTTTGGGGACGATACTCCATTGCCCTTTTTGGCCATCTTTCCTCTCCCATTCTTTTTACGTGCCCATACCATAGGCACGTAGCTGTCTCGATTCGATGTTGTCTGTGCTGGTATATATTCGCCTTGTTCTTTGCCTGATCTCCTCATTTCTAATGTGCTTCTAAAAATGTGCTTTTTAATATTATTTTTCATTTTTACAAAAGCCCTAGCCTCCCACCTGGGCTCAAACCCAGGCCCCCCAGGATAAATTGCTATTTACGCTAATGGCTCTCAGTGAGCATTTTATTCCTTTAATGAAAATGTATTCTAGGTGACATGACGTCTTTATTACGTTACCAGGCCCTGTTTGTGCCTGATATAAAGCAATAAAACGCAGATACGTAACTCTTCCCTAAATGTGACAAAACTTTGCTTACTGGGGTGGTACTTCATCTTTATACAGGGTGTCCCAAATATAAGTGCAAGTATTTTAACTGGTAGTATAGTTCAACCCCAGAAACACGCCTATGATGTTATTTTTAGCGAAAGTTTTAGTTTTTAGTTAAAACAATATAATTTCTTGATAATATGGCAACATAGGTAGAAGATTAAATTTAAATGTTGAAGAAAAAAATAAGAGAAAGAAAATCCAGAAAAGATCCAGTGGTTCTCAACATTTTAGCATTTTGAAAAACGATAAAGAGTAAAAATGTTTCTTTTATCGAGATCTACAACTCCTTAAAATACTTGCACTTATTTCTGGGACACCCTGTATATACGTAAGAAGGCATTGTCTTTATTTTTGAAACTGTACACATTTTGAAACAATACAAATTAATGCAGTTAAATCTTGTACCGTATGATCGAAAAAACGGCGTCCAATTGGCATAGAAATGAACATCGATGACATTAATCCCATATAATTTTACATATAAAATGACTGCGATCTTCATTTCATAGCCATAGCTAACCCCGTTTTCTTTCGATCATACGGTATAATATTAAACCAATTACTATAAAAAACTAAGTAGAATAAAGCCATTTCTAAAGAGACAAGACATTTTAGCAACATATTCGATTTCATCTAGAATCTAAACAGCATTAAAAATAATTGGTTTTATTGAAAATAAGAAAATTGGTAACCACTTCCGGTATACCCGGAAGTGCAAGAAAACGATTATATTTTAAAAAAATATATACCTCAAAACATATTTAATCTACCACAATAAGATTTGTATATTCGATCAAAAAATACTTTTAATAAAAGAGTTTTGTGAACAATCCGGCCTGTATTCCTGCAAACAGAAACTAAATCAAAAATGTTACATAAAATCGTCATCGATTTATCTCGAAGATCCGTTGATATTTGAATGATGTTATCATTTTTTTCTGGCGCGAATTTAAAAGAGGGGCATATATAAATGAAAAGTCCCATCTCGATCCGACTGTGCCAGTTGTGTTTTGTGTCGTGATATTCGAAGATATTCTCTTTTACTTTTCATCGGCGCTATGAAAGTCCTGGTACGTAAACGACCTTCGCCATCTCATCTCCTTTCTATTGTAGTTTATTTTTTATTTTTTTAATTATAATTATTAACTGTACATTTAATCGATGCAATAGAAGTCTCGCATCAGCTGTCAAAATGTGACATGTCTCAATTATTTTCTTCATCAAATGCGTTACCTTATTTGTTGATGTTCATCTTCTTTCTATTGTGTTTTATTCTATTATTTCCTTAATTATAATTATTAAGAGTCCATTTCACTAGTCCGAAAAACTAGCAAAATAAGCGTTCGGCATTTAACGTTTTATGTAAAACTGGCTAGGTGTTTTTACACAAATGAAGAAGGAAATCCAAAGTAAAGGATTATACTATATCCGTATTGTAGTACAGTTTTAGACAACTTATTTATTTTTAATGTTTTGATGATCAAACATCAACAAAATATTCCTTATGTTTGGACTAAATTTTCTCGAAAAGAAAGACATAATTTAAAATTCCGTTACAATACGGAAATAGATTGAAGTTTTGTGATTACAATGATATATAATTTATATGGTTTTCTAACTAATTGCTCGCTATTTTATTATATTATGGCAAATGCTGAAGATCTGCAAACCTTAATCAAGCCTTAATCAAAGCACGTGTGTTTGGAATTTTAGGTTTCGCTTAACACGACAGAATCGGGCTAAACCTTAGGCAGATTTCTGAAATATAATATATATTTCCTTCGGCCACACACCCGCTTTACCCGACCCCTGAGAGCATCCCTGAGACTCTTAAAAGTGACGCCATCCACTATATATTTAAAGTGTCAAACGTAGATATTTTCCAAATAAATTTCCAGGCTATTACAACTAGACAGCTGAAAGCTGAAATTATCAAAACTATGATATTAGAGCAGGGGTGGATGGGGAAGTGGAAACCGACCTGGGAAAAACAGACAACCGGCCCAAATCCACAAAAACAAAATGACCATAGCGAAGAAACATATTTTATTTATTAATACAAGGTGTCCCAGATATAAGTGCAAGTATTTAACTGGTAGTATAGTTGAACCCCAGAAACACGCCTATGAGGTTTTTTCGAAAAAAAACTTTCGAAAATTCGGAATTTTTTGAAAAATGTTTTAGATTTTTTTTTAGTTTTTAGTTAAAAAACATAATTTCTTGATAATATGGCAACATAGGTAGCAGATTAAATTTACAAGAAAAAAAATCCAGAAAAGCTCCAGTGCTTCTCAAAATTTGAGCAAAAAAATATTTTTTTTTTGGAATTTTTCAAAGTAAAATAACTGCGTTATTTTGGACTTATCTGAAAAACGATGAAGAGAAAATATGTTTTATTTATCGAGATCTACCACTCCTTAAAATACTTGCACTTATTTCTGGGACAACCTGTATATAAGTAAGGATGTTTTTCGTTCGTGCGAAAAAGCTCTTTTACCTCCGGTTTTAATAAAAAATTAAATTGTCTTGATCAAAATTTTCGTAAAGACCAATATTGGCTCGGACATCTGAATTTTTACTACAAAATGGCTCAGTTTTACAGGGTTCTACTGCTTTATTTCCATTATCGATAACGGTAATTTGATCTTGAATAGGCTACGATTCTGAGAAACTTTAAGACTTCCTGATTCATTCAGTTCAGCTGACCCAATCCTCTGTGAAATACATTATTTTAGCTTTTCGGGTATATACTTTCTTACACATTGTAGAAAGAAATTCTCTCTTTTCTGCTACAGCAGCAGTCTCCTCGTGTAGAAGTGTTTTTAACTGCATGAACCGCGGTCGCCATTAAAACTGGAACATTTTTTAGGTTATTATATAGTTCTTATCACGAAACTTTTCCTCTATACTTTTGTACATTTGGCATCTTGTATGATAATGCCATGACTCAAACGAGAAGAACCTAGGCAATACCTAGGCAGTGGATATAAATGTGTTCTGATGTAATGTTATGTTACAGTCCATAATACGAATATTTGGATTTTCGATACATATTAAGATTTTATTTTCTAATCTAGTTTACACCTTATTTAACTCTTCTCTACTGTCTCAGTAATTTTTAGCAAACTCATTGTAGCAACATTTTATTAAACAACAATTTAAACTTGGTATTTAGTTCCGTCCCCAATTCAAGCCAAGCATAGATATGTTTTCTCCGTCAACCGCAGAGTTCGCGTCAAATTCGTCTACCTTCTTACAAAGGGGAGCTCGAAAAATATTGCACCGAGGCCCCCAATTGTCGATCTACGCTACCGTATTCTTAGTATACATTTCGATCGAGACTATTTAAATTTACCTAATGCTATTCATTCTTTTTTTTTGCTACCAGTCATTCATATTTATTAGTTATTAATAAAAGAATATTGGGTAAAACTATACAGGGTGAGTGTTAAATATGTGCAAATATTTTCAGGGGTGGTATATTTCGACTCCAGGAACACGTCTAGGACGTTTTTCTTGCACAAAAAGATGTTAAAAATCGAGCATTTTAAACAAAAATTACAAAAATTTTCAAACCTAACAAACAACAGATGTTTATTAAAATTATAAGTGTCCCAGAGAAAGACATTTTACAATAGTTATTTTACAAATTGGTGTTTATATTTAAAAGCAACTGACGATTATACTGATGAAAATTGATTAGTTAGTTATGGAGTCACTAAGGATCTTACGTCACTTTAGTTAGAAGATTAACTATTTAATTTTTGCTAATCCAATCTTTTTTGAGCTCTGATCGGGACCGGCCCACCGTCCCATTTTTCCACCGGCCCACCGCGAATTTTCCCATTTTCCCATATGGCCCATCCACCCCTGTATTAGAGCAATTAGAGATACAACTTAACCACAACTTAACAAGTATAGCTGGAGACGTGAGAAATATAAAATAAGAGACGCCCCTCGATGCGCAGTGGACAGATTTGTCGTAGTGTAACTGCATCTCTCTTCCGCCGAATGCGTTCTCTCTCTAACGTGTGCGCGACCAGTGCTATCCCCAAGTCTCTTGTCAAACTGTATCTAGCTGAAGTTTTGAGGTGGTAAAATTTTAATCGATACAATAGAAATCTTGCATCAGCTGTCAAAATGTGACGTCTCAATTATTTTCTCCATCAAACGCATTACCTTATTTGTCGATGTTCATCTTATTTCTATTGTGCTTTATTCCTTTATTTCCTAATTATTAACAGTACATCTAATCGATGCCATAAAAAGCTCGCATCAAAAAGTGACATTTCTTGATTTTCTTCATCTAATGTTCACCTTACTTGTTGATATTGCACTTTATGAATAAGTTTACTATACCGGGTGGTGCATCGTCGCGCGTCTTTTGAAACATAGGAAAACTCATGTAAATATTGAACTGTCCCAATATTGGCTCCCCTATTAATTTTACAGTTTGACTTAAGTCGTCGTTGACTTAAGTAGTAAGTAAATAGTTTTGTTAAAGGTCTGCGTATTCTGAATACACTTGCGCCAAATTTGATCAACTTTTGACAAGCCGTTTTTAAGTAATTTAAGAGAAACTGCATATTTTTTAAGTTAAAAGTGAACAGGTAACAATGCAAAACCAGTTAAATATCAACATACCTTAAGTAAACATAAATAAAATACCGATTGCATACAAAAAACTTTATTTTATATAAAAACATATATGAAATCATAATGTGCCCTTGTTGAGGAACTGTCAGTGGTTCCAGTTCAATTACAATCTGAAGATTTGAGTAATAAGTAAAATAGAGTAAAAATCACAAATAAGTCTAACCTGAGATGGAATACTTGAGCAACCCTGAATAACCAACACTGGGTCACCTAGTATATACTAGGTGCGTCTCAAAAGTGGCTCACCCCCTATAACTTTTTTATTATTTCAGATAAAAAAACGAGATTTGGTATTTTAGTATATGGCATAAATTAGGAATAATTGACGTATTCAATTGTTTTTGGTCACTTCCTGTTTCACCGGAAATGAGTACAACTTTTGATTTTTAAATGGCACCCTCGGTATTTTTTTACTTTATTCAATAGAAAATGACATTCTGAATAGAATGACATATCATATGTCAACTTTTGACATTCTCGCTTAATAAAAAATCGTATTTTAAAATTCAATATAGAGTGCCATGGCTTAAAAACACTAATTCTTAATCAAGGAGCCTTGGAAAAATAGATTTGATCGTCTAATGTTTTAAGTGTCCTGTCCTGGGGCGCTATTCTGTACAATCGTCGGTATCGGTAAGTTACCGACAGCTATCGGTACGTACGGCCAATGAGCGTCGTGTTGATTGTTGTTGTCATAGTTTTAGCTGTCATTAATAGGACATATAGCAAATTTGTACCGACGACTCTCAGTATCTCTACCGTGAGGTTAACAAGGGCACGGTAGAGATACCGATGTTCGTCGGTACAAATTTGCGATATCTGCCATAGGACCGATCGGTAACTATGACAACAACAATTAACACATTTTTACTGTATACAAATACGTATCGAGAGCTGTCGGTATCGGCAAGTTATCGACAGCTATCGGTACGTACGGCCAATGAGCGTCGTGTTGATTGCTGTTGTCATAGTTACCGATCGGCCCTATGACAGATATCGCAAATTTGTACCGACGACTCTCGGTATCTCTACCGTGCCCTTGTCAACCTCACGGTAGAGACACCGATTTTCGTCGGTACAAATTTGCGATATCTGCCATAGGACCGATCGGTAACTATGGCAACAACAATTAACACATTTTTACTATATATAAATACGTATCGAGAGCTGTCGTAACTTACCGATACCGATGATTTTACAGAATAGCGCCCCTGGTCAGTTAGAAAATGCTCAAATCGCATTTTTAATCATATCTCAATATTTTCAAATGGGACGAGGGTGGCTCATTAGCATATTTGGAAAAGGCATTTTTTTTAGAATAATTTGATACCACACACTTGGTATTTCCAGTCAAAATTTTTTGTTACGAACCGCAAGTTATAACTTCAAATAAACCATATGCGAAAATGTCAAAAGTTGACAAATGATATGTCATTCTATTCAGAGTGTTATATTCTATCAAATAAAGTAAAAAAAAATACGGGGGTGTCATTTAAAAATTAAAAGTTCTAGTCATTTCCGGTGAAACAGGAGGTGACCAAAAACAATAATATTGAATACGTCAATCAATCCTAATTTATGTAATATACTAACATACCAAATCTCGTTTTTTTATCTGAAAAAATAAAATAGTAATAGGGATGAGCCACTTTTGAGACGCACCCGGTATATAGTACGTTCAAAAAGTTTTATGATCAAGCAGGTCTTGTCATGATAGTTTAAAAAATACTATATCATCATACAAAGTACGGGGAGACTAACCGTCATCATACAAAGCACATGGACACTCACCGGCACAAAAAACGGGCACCTTTATTGTGCCGGTATTTTGATGTATTTTACAGTTTTATATATTTTGTTCTATGGCCGATTTTAAAGATTTTTTAAGCAATTTGTAGCTAAATTAGTTGACTTTTTGTATCTTTTTCTAAATTAAAAATTAAAGTATCCGTCTGTCAATTATACGAGGGAAAGCTTAAAAAATCATCAAAATCGAACCACTCGAACACAATATATAAAACTTTAAATTACATGAAAATTTTAAGGTGCCCGTTTTTCGTGGCGGTGGCATGGCGGTGAGTGCAGTTATAAACCGTCAATACGATATTTTAATTCACTGAATTTTCTAAACTATCCAAGAAATTGTAGTAGAGACATAGTTAAGACATTTAACCGATCCAAGAAATTCTAGTAGAGACATAGTTAAGACATTTAACTGGTATTTTTTAATTTGTTTAAACAAATAGCTAAAACTAACCACCAACCACCATCAGTGTTTCCTTCATGATGATACCAACAGTGTCTTCTTCATGATGATATGACATACACACAAAAAGCATACACAACAATACCAAAGACTGAACGACAAGTCGTTGTAATGTGGACACAACTTGGTCTGTACGTTTTATCTGCAACGTTTTCTGGGCGCAATCAAGTCGTACGATAAATCGTTGCGTGTAGACCGTGCTTTAGTGTGAATATATTGTTAATTTGAAAATAACGCAAAAATAGCAGCATTTTGATATTTTATTGATTTTTTCGAGCAATTGATGGATTTCAGTATACCAGTCGACCTTTTCGCCGATGATGAGTTTAGCGATAGTTACGTAAAACGCAATAATCCACGTTTATGGTGGATTTTGTAATGGATGCTAAATAATTTAGCGATGCTGCTCTTCGAATGGTAAATGACGTAAGAGGTGGGCGTTCTTGGTATTTAACCGTAGCGGGACGATTTGAAATTAAAATGCGAACGATTGTTGGCTGTACTGGTGGTACTGCAACTTTCTTTTCTTTACGAAATACTTTGGCCCGCGCGATGAGAGACCGGCTAAAGGACATGGGTTAATTGAGATTAAATCATACGTGTTAATATACAGGGTTGTTCACCACATACGACACGGAGTATTGTAGCTAAACGATTAGATTTTTACAAATTCTACGTTTTGCGTTTGTTGATTAATATTTTTACAATATACAAATATTTTTACAAGATACAGAGTGTCCCAAATAATTAAAAAATATGAAAGTTCTATTTTTTTTAATGGAACACCCTGTATATTATTACATTTTTAGTTTCTACGATTAAAATAAAGGTAAATTTGATTAAGGTTTACTGCATTTTAATCTTACCATTTTTGAAATATTTAGATTTTTGTCAAAATACAGTAATAAATAAGTTTAATGCTTCATTTCTCTAGGCGTATTTAAGTTTTTAAAACCAAATATTGTACTGAATTATTTCTATTTACCAAAAGTTTGTGTTGCAATAATAAAAATTACACTACCTTATACAGAGTGTCTAAATATTTATTTTAAATAATTACTGACTTTAAACGGCAATAACTTGTTTAATTTAAATGGAACACCTTGCATATTTTACGAGAATCAGATGGACAGTTTAATTGTCTATCAAATTGTATTACATCATTTTATATACTCTTTTATGAAGATTTAAATAGTTTTCTTTTTGTATACAAATGGGCTAGTACAGTACGTCTGCTGGATCTGTGTCTATGAAAGGAATGCGGACAAAAAACATTTAAATAAACAACAATATATTTTATACGTCGATTTGACGAGTACGTCACCGCAAATCGCTCTTTATTGATGGGACGCGTCGTCTCATTTTTTACGAAAAACATCGAGAGAATATCGTTTCCCCTCTCACGGATACCCCGTAGCTACAGAACGGACAGACGTACTGTAATATTATTATTTTTAGCACCTGTACATTTTGTACATTTGTTGCTTTAAAAACAATCTAAAATGTCAGTATTCCATGGGTATATTGATAAATGAGATCTAAATTATAAGAAAATGCATTTTCTACGAAAACTTAAAGGGATAGGTAAAAAATGGTATAATACAATTTGATAGACAATTAAATGATGCATCTGATTCTCCTAAAACATACAGGGTGTTGCATTTAAATTAAACAAGTTATTGCCGTTTAAAGCTAGAAATTATTTAACGATGTACTTAAACAGCCGTTAAGCGGTAGCCTACTAAAATGCCGTTAATAGATATTGTGACGTCGTTCATGTCGGCGGAAAGTAATGCCTAGCTATAAACATTTTGCAAGAGCACCTGTGGCTCCGTGGCTGAGGCTATCGCTTCGTGAGCGAATGGTCCGTGGTTCAAATCTCACGCCGACCAAAACTTTTTTATATATATATTTTTTTTATAGCGTGATCTTATTGCATTGGTTTCACTCTTTTGGTTGAATTGGTTTAGTTATTTTGCGGGTTGGTTAGCGTGGTTATTTAGAGGGTGTTAATTCATTGGTTAGTTGGTTATTTGGTGGGGTTGGTTGGTTTTTACTAATTTATATTTGTTTCTTATATTTTTTAGCAGTGTCGAGGTTAGTTGCGTTGGTTAAGTTGGTTATTTGGTGGGGTGGATAGCGTTGGTTAGTCCATATAAAATTCATATATTTCATAAAGCCGTCAAGTGCGTCACATCAACGACGTCATACCTATTAACGGCATTTTAGTAGGCTACCGTTTAACGGCAGTTTAAGTACAGCCATTATTTAAACTACATTTTTAGACACTCTGTATGAGGTAGTCTTATTTTTATTTATGCTACACAATATCTAATCAATACAACCTTAACAAGGATGTTCCACTACACCATTAAATGCATTAATCCAAAAATAAATCACAGATTTAAAAAAAAATAGTAATACTAGCGTCGGATGTCGGATATATATTTTCTCACGAAGTAATTGTAGGCATTCTTCCCGGTACTTCTTCAATTTAGATCTAATTGCCAAGGTCGCAAAATAACATTTCTTCACCTGCAAAAGGTCACACCGGTGACCTATGAAGCAGCAAATTTTTCAATTGATTTTTTCCAGAAACGGATCTCAGCTATCGAAAATGGGCCTACCCTATTCGAATGGAATTTGATTAATTTTTGAAGAATTTAATGCTAATTTTTCCTATGAAATTTTAACTAAATATACAAAGCAACGTTGTTTCGGAAAACCTGTGCCATCTCTCGTGGGTAAATTCCTCACGTAAAAATAAGATTTATTTTTCATATCAACATAGATTCTGCTTTGTTTCGTAGTTACAGGGTGTTAAAGTCTTAATATTTCGATTTATTATAATTTTCTTCCAAGTACTTTTAGTGATTCGAATGAAATTTTGAGGGTAAAAGTTACTATAAGTGCTACACATTTTAATGCTAAAAAAGTGTCGATAAATTCATCAAGGACGTGCATATAGGTTATCACTGGAGGACTAATACTAAATATGTCAAATACACTCTATACTTGTCACTATATATGTGTAAATAAAAAAATCAACTATAGGTACTTTTAAAGTATAATTATTTTTGAAAAAATTATTTTTGTTTTTAGATTATCTTAGCCGTTGCTTTGACAGCCTGTTTGGCTCAAAGACGCAACTCAATCCAAGTTGATCAGTACCAAGACAACCAACCAGCCGAGTCAGCAAACCAACAGTACCAAGCTCCAGAACAACAGTACCAAAATCAAGACGCCAGGTCCAAGTCTAGAGAAATTACCACACCCATTCCTATTATCCGATACGACAAAGAGCAAGGAGACGATGGGTCTTATAAAGCAGCGTAAGTTGATTATAAAATTCGGATTTTTCCGTATATCTTTAGAAATAGATCCTTTCCATACGTCCAAATTTATCCGGACATGTCCTGATTTTTAAGGTGTCCAGTTATAGGGGTCAGCCATGACGCAACTTTTCTCAAATTTAATAATACTTTTGGTATACCTTCTGGTGTACGAAATATTTGTAGCGTACATTCTTATACCGATTTGGTCATCCAAACTGTGCGGTCTGGATTTTAACGTGTAAGACAGTGATGTAGGCAGGTTAATAAAGAGATAAAAAAAAACTTATATTTTCTTACAAAGGTAAAAAACTGTTTTTTCGATCGTATAGTATTTGTTAACTGGCAAAATCAAAGATTTCTTGATAATAAAACTGTTCATAATCATACAGCATATTTATTGTTATAGGACATAGTTAAGAAAAGATTTAAATAGTTATTACTTGTCTGTTTTAGTTGGGAAACCGGAAATAACATCCTTGCCCAAGAAGAAGGTTTTTTGAAACCGTTAGGACCTGATCCAGATGAGGAAGGAGGTATTCTTAACGCTCAAGTTCAACAAGGTACTGATTTTAATTATTTTAAAAAAATTGTTAAGAGGCATATTTAATCAGAATATCAAGAATCAAGGTAATAATGGGCGAAACATTGCTCCTTAGCAAGTGATTTCTGAAGGCTGAAAGTTTGCAAGGTAATACTGAAAACAATATATTTATTAATAAAAACAGTCAGACCCATCGATAATAGAACCCCGTCAGTCAGCAGCGAGAATAGTGACAGCACGCGTATTCTTCTTCTTCTTATCACGCCCTCTCCTGCCGAAGGCTGGCGATCCAAATGGCAATTGTAGCTCTGGATACTGCACCCCGGAAGATTTCCGCAGACGAGCGTTCAAACCATCTCCTTAAATTTTTTAGCCATGAGTTCTGGCGTCTTTCTACTAATATTTTCCCTTGCACTTTGCCCTCTATTATGAGGCGCAGTATTTCGTATCTATCAGCTCTCATCACATGACCCAAGTATTCAATTTTTCTTTCCTTGATGGTATTCATTATCTCTTTTTGTTTCTGCATGCGTTGGAGTACTTCATCATTGGTGATCCTTTGTTCCCATGAGATTTGCAGCATCCGTCTGTATACATACATTTCGAAGGCTTATATTCTCTTTTCGGTCTGTGAATCCAGTGTCCAGCTCACACATCCATAGTGTAACACAGAAAAGACGTAGCATCTGGCCATTCGAGTACTGAGTTCCGCACTGAGGTCTCGTCTTGTAAAAAATGATCTCATACTAAAGAAGATTCTTCTCGCTTGCTCAATTCTTGAAAATATTTCTCTTTCGCACTGACTATTGATGTTAGCTCCTAAATACTTTATTGAGGTCACTTGTTCGATTGTTTGTCCCTTGACACACAGGTGTGCATTTATTGGAGTCTTAAAAAAGACCAATTGGTCTTGGAGACATTGAGATGCAGTCCAAACATCTCACTATAGCACGCGTATAGGCGGGTCTTTATTCAATATATAATATATCGATATATGTCTGACTGTTATATTTCTGTTTTACACTGCATTCGAATGTTAACTACAAATTTTCAATCTTCAGAAAACAATTTGGCGGTGTTAATTAAAATTACATCTTTGCGCGTTTCTCAGCGCCGCGCCAGGTGTCCCGGAACTGGAACTGCTGACTGTACCTTAGCTTTTTAACGCTAAAATGTAATATATTTTGAAAACATGAACCTTCAGAAACTCTTGCATTTTTTTGCACCCGGCTCTTGGACTAATAATGGTTTTTATCGAGAACACATTACAATTAATGTTCTCTATCTAATACTATGTTCAATGGATTAAAATTAACACTTGTGTTATGTTGTTATGTTTTTTTTTCAGGCTCCTACTCATATACAGCCCCAGACGGTCAAATAATCACCGTCAACTACATTGCTGACGAGAAAGGTTTCCACCCAACAGGAGATCACTTGCCAACTCCTCCTCCAGTAAGTGCAGAAGTACAAAAAGGCTTAGACCTGATCTTCGCCGGTATCAAAGCTCAACAGGTAAGAAAACTTACGAAATAAGGGTCCATAAATATCAAAATCAACTTCTCTTTTAGTTTACATCTAGTATTTTTCAAATTCATATTCTCAACATTGCTTTATTGCACTCAGTATCGTCAACTTTATTCAATTGTTTTTCATATTATGTTTATAATAAAGTATTTCAGATTTTCTTGTACCATATACGTAACTCTATTTTATTATATATTTGACATTCTTGAGGAAAGTACCGATATATAACCAAAACACTCTGGTAAGTAGTAACCCTGTAGTAACCTATATTGTAAAAATAATAGAATAATAAAATGGCCACAAAACAATGGGTGGCTAACCATTTTCTAAAATGGTGGAGAAATTAAAAGACAGAACACATTTTGTCAGTGCGACAAATTGAGACAGAACCTGGCAAATATGTGCGATTCTTTATACTAGACCATTGACAAACAGCTATAGGGAGGGTTCAGTCTCCAAGTTGCTAGACTTTTTGAAGAAGATAGGACTGGAAAATGGAACTTAGAGATCAGAAGAGAACTCAATACCAACGCGTCGTATAAATAAAAACAAAAGTTTTTTTCTAATTGATCCTAGCCACATACCCAAGAAACAACAAATAAAACTTATGATGTAAAGGCTAAAGAATAACTACATTCAATATATGCATAAATACCGTACGTATCGAAAATAAACGGCATCAGGGCAGGCTTAGAATTCCTATCTATGATGATTTTGTAAGGGCCAATCCCTAATGTAATTTATTAAACACGAAGAATCAGAAACGTTCCAAAAATTATAGGATTAAAATATTATAAGCTTTTATGCAAATTTTAATGAATTACTTCTAGAGTCGATTTTTAGACAAAAATTACCGTCTATTTCTATTTCGAATGCCACTGTAACACCTTTTTTTTTCGATCACATCCTTAATTTATTATTTACGAAAATATATGTAATAATACACTTTCCTTAATTTCCTTCATTTCCACTAAAAAAAGCTTATAGCAAGTAACATTGAACACATACATACTTACCTACATACACCATTATTTAATACCATAAAACATAACTAATCCAATAACTTCTTAGACTAATTTTAATAATATTCATTGTCACTAATAATGTTTGCCCGTAAATGGTCACACTCTTCCTAAAGCCTACAACCTTAGCTTGAATCTTATTTTAATTTTATATTTATTATATATTATTTGTCTCTAATATGTGCTAGTTTATTTTTTGTTAATTACTAATTTATATGTATAATAATATTAATTAAACCATAATGTTAACTAAACATTCGCTATAGAAATCGTTTTTAAGTATACATTGTTTTAACATTTTTACAAAATTGTACTTTGTATTTACTAGACATAATTTTCATTAATGTTCCAGATAGAGTAGTACCCTTGTTTATATATACAGGGTGCTACAAATTCGAGGTACGAGCATTGGTTAAATTGGAGCAAAGTTGCGTATTGGGAAAATAACTAATTTGAAAATCTAAAAATACTATCAGATAGCCCTAATAAAGTGGCTATGAGAATGTCCAATTAGTTTTTTAAAGTAATGAGAGGATAAAATAAAATTGATTTTCAAAAAAATCCGTTTTTTCCAAAAAAACTCAGGAATCCTTGAAATTTTTAAAACTTTTTTGATGGCATCTTGGTGAATATTCCAAGGCGGGCAACTTTGCCCCTATTTAACCATCTTCGTATCTATTACGGTTTCCGAGATACCAATGCTCATACCTCGACTTTGTAGCACCCTGTATATATTAAAGGGTAGTACTGAGTATACTAAAGAAATATGTATATAAAACTTTATAAAGCATTTTCAAAGCATTTTATCACGTGAGATTTAATACCTCATAACTAAGTAGTTTTGATAATAAGTATATAAATCTAATATGTATTTAATATGCCAAAATCTAAAAATTCAGAATGATTTGCAATTTTTTCTTCAGCATTTTTGATTAGAATAGAATAGTTTAGAAAATATACACTATATTAATTCTAGTCTAACGGATCAGACCCAGATTTCATCAAGATAAGAAAAAATATATACAGAGGTAGCATAAAAGCTGGAGAGAAGAACTTAAATACATCTGACATACCTAAATTAACAGAAATTACAGATTCAGACTCATCAAGAGCACCAAAGTTGATAAAAACAATATTAGAATTATCAAAGGATAAAGCAAATCATCAGTCTCAAGAGGTACTAGAATTGATAATCTATTATTTTTATATTGTTATATTAATTAAACTTCTTTATTATTCTTTCTAGGTTCTGGAAAATTCAAATAATATTAACTTGCAATCACATATAAATCCTATTACAAAAAATGGAAATAACGTGGCTAATAAAGCAAATAAAACTACTAGAGTCTCTAAAAGCGGAGGTTTTATCCAAGTTAATATTGAACAATCTACTTTAAGGAATAATCTATACAATAATACAAACAAAGATATAAAACCTGTTACTCAAATCTTCTTTCGCTCAGCATACAACACAACTCATAAACAACCTACTCAAGCTACTAATAAAACATTAATAGATAAGACTGCTAAAACAGACAAAGAGGGAACAATTTTCAGAGAAGGAAAAAATATTATTAACTACGATAATAACAAGCCTTTTCCAAGGAATAATATTGAAAATGCAGAATCACCATTTGAAGCATTAGTTTCTGAAAATAGCCAGCATCTTGTTCCATCTTTGCAACAAGCAATACAGAGTACACAAACTACAAAGGGCTCAAATTCTAATAATCTAAGTACAAAAAGTATAGAATCAAGTGTTAATAACACAGTAATAGATAAAACAGCTGTAAAAGAAAAAGAGGGATCAATTTTCAGAGAAAGAAATAATGTTGTTAACTCCAATAATACCATACCTCTTTCAAGAAATAATATTGCAAACTCAGAGTCACCATTTGAAGCACTTGTTCCTGAAAATAGTCAGCATCTTGTGCCATCTTTGCAACAAGCAATACAGAGTACACAAACTATAAAGCACTCAAAATCTAATGCTCTTCGTACAAAAAGTATTGAGTCAAGTGGTTTTCAAAATAATGCAAAAATGGATATTGGAAACTTGAAAACACGATATAACAATAACCAGACGTTTATTAATAAAAATCAGCCAAGTAATCTTGGAAGAGGATTTTCAGTATTAGTACAAGATCCAATCAGTAATTTTGATAACAAAAGTTTTCAAAATCCTGAAAATGCAGTTCCTAACTCATTAAATACGAATCAGAATTTCAATTCAGACGGATCTAATTTTAGAAATGACGATACAAATAATCAAGGAACAGCTGTTATTAATAGCAATTCAGCTTTGGAAAGCCTGTCTTCCACTGCGCTGCCTAATATTCAGAACAATTTTGCTACAAAGCAAAATTCAGAAACAAACATTGATACAAATTCACAAAAGAATGTTAAACTAGAAGCTAGTAGAAGTAGAAATCAAATAAAAAATAGTGTATTTAATACGGCTGCATATGATAGAAATAGTTCAGAAGTTACAAGCACTACTGAGCGTCAAAGATCGCTAAATATCTTTGAAACTATTGATGTAAAAGGAATTGCTACCAATAATGCTGAATTTAGTAATACAGGAAATTTACCAGCACACTTAATATCTCTTCTACCACCAACTAACAGTGATCTAACATTAAAAGAAAACACAAAAAATAATTATAAGCCTATATCATCAAGTAATAATCTGCATACAAAATTTTCATCACAAGCAAGTGCTGATATTCCAACGCAAGAATTGTTTAAACAAATTAATACGAATATAGAAAATATGGTAAAATCCCAGAACAGGCTATGTGATATTTTAGAAGCATTGCTAAATAATAATGTGAAGGAAAATTGTTCAAATTTATTAGGAGAATTGAGGGAACTTTGTAAGGAAAGTGAAAAAAGCAATTCCGCAATTTTAGATATTCTTAAAGAAAAATTAAATTAACTTGTCATAATAAAATGCAGGAAAGTTATCAGTATTTTATTGGAATTTGGCTTTATTGTTTCCTGCTTATATTTTTAATAAGATAAATAGTTTTATACTGGGTTTTATGTTAATAGAAAATAATTAGTTGTAGTAAGTATATTATTTAGCCTCTAACGGACAAGGTTCGAGTTAAATTAATATACAGGGTGAGTGTTAAATAAGTGCAACTATTTTTAAGGGTGGTAAATTTTGCAATCTAAATGTTTATATTAAAATAAAATAGAATTTAAATTGGAATATAGACATATAGATATATATATATAGAAAACAAGGTATGATCGATAGCGGCTCCAATTTCGTTAAGTTTGCGCATACCACCTGTGGCGTCATACGCCATAGAAAAAATATCCATATTGTTCAATTGTCACTAATAAAAAGAGACCTAAAATAGGGAAGAATTAGAACATGACCCCAAAAGTTATGTTTTGACATCCAGCTTGATGAAAAATTATTTTCACATTTTGACACAATCACATTTCACAGATGACACAATCTGTTTGACAATCTGAAACCTTGATTTGAAATTGGCGCGCAAAGCTTGCCGACCAATGGTGCCGTTTATCACCTGTGACGTACTGACCAACCTGAGCAATATATGTCAAACAGTTTTCTTCTTTATACACTTTTTTTCAATAAATCAGTAACAAAAATAAACAAATAGGTTCTAAACTTTTTGGCACACATTGTCTAAATGTATTTGTGTATATCTAATTTATTTATTTATTTCAAAAGTCTTAATAATAGGCTTATTATTATGAATAGTTAATTAATTATTTAGATGTAGAATTTCTGAGTGAAAGACACATTACACAAAACTGTTAAACTTAGTAAAATTAATATTTATATTAAGCCCCATTCAGAACCTCGAAATTAGTGAAATAAATTAGTGGTTTCAGTTAGCGTAAAAGTACGTTTCTCTATCAAACGTCAAAATTGGTGGTAGTAAATTTTAATTGATAGAAAAAGTTTAACGAAGTTTTAAAAAA